AATAAAGAAGAGAAGTCAGAATGAGAAGAAAGATAAAATTTTGGAGAAAATAAAAGAAAGTGAGAAGAAATTGAGAGCAAAACCAAAGTCGCAGGAGATTTTGAGAGAAATAAAATTATATCAAGTACAATACATGAAAATGATGAATCAGGAAATAGAATGGAAAATTAAACAAATGAGACAAAAAACATTTGAATCAGCTAATAAATGTGGGAAATTGTTGGCCTGGCAAATGAAAAAAAGACAAAAATTAAATACTATTACAAACTTAGAAGTGGAAGGAAAGAATATACACAACCCAATTGAGATTAGAAACTGTTTCCAGAGGTACTTTAAACAATTATACACACAAGGGCCACAGAAAGAAATGGACATAGACCGATTCTTGAAGACAAATGGATTACAAAAAATCTCTCAAGAAAGTAAATTAATGCTGAACTATAAAATATCTGAACAGGAAGTGGAAGGTGCCATTCAAAACATGCAATTGGGCAAATCTCCAGGACCGGATGGGCTGACTTCTAGATATTATAGATCCTTGAAAGAGTGGCTATTGCAACCTTTGAAGGAAGTCTGCAATGAAATTTTGGAAGGGAAAAGGGCACCAGAGTCGTGGAAAGTGGCGTACATTACACTTATACCTAAAACAGAGACTGAAAAGACTCAGCTTAAGAACTACCGCCCTATATCGTTACTTAATGTGGATTACAAAATTTTTGCAGACATTTTGGCCAAGAGATTGAAAAAGGTATTTGTGATGGGATTATGAGCTGCTTGTGCGTAAAATCGTATTCCCTCAGAGTTTGTTCAAGTCCACAAACCTCTGTCTGTGACTGAGCCCCTCTGACATGGCTCCTCTTAGTCACTAGAAGATTCCGACAGTGGTTGCTTTCGTAATCGCTTCCAACATAAAAGCTCCTTAACGGAAACACGTCTTCTGGACTCTCTGCGTGACAGTTTCCGGCGAGGAGTGGGTGTCGCTACAGGAGGTCCGGAAACCTCACCACTGTTTTCGCTGGAAGTATCTCTGAGCCATCCCCCAGCTCCCTTTCCCTCAGTTCAGCTTCTCTCCCCTGCTGGTTTCCTCTTCAGCTGCTAAGTCTCTTCCACCCTGTCTGAGCCCTTTCACCTCCCTCAGTTCAGCGTCTCTCCCCCTGCTGGTTTCCTCTTCAGCTGCTAAGTCTCTTCCAACCTGTCTGAGTCCTTTCACCTCCCTTCCTACCGATGGCAGTTCCCTGACATCCACCCCCCTCCAGGGCCCCCTTCACCCCCTCTCGCCCCCTCCTCTACGGGCGGTGAGGAGGCAAAACCCGGAATGAACTTCCTTCATCTTCCGATGTCTCGAACACTTCTCTCCACCTGTTGCGGTTCCTGGTCTCGAAGCACTCCTCCTCCTCCGAGTCCATCTCCCCTTCCCCTTCCGATTCTGGGAATCCTTCCAACTCCTCCTCCTCCTCAGTGGTCCCAAAGTATTCCCTCCGGAACCTCTCCACAGGCTGAGGTTTCCATGGGAACCTTTGATGGAACATTTCTATCAATACCTCGTCATTGATATCTTTGGCCATTACCACGTGTTTTCTGACTCCGGTTCTCCTTCCCACGCTACCAAATACTCCACCTGATCCCCCTTCCACCTGGCGTCGAGGATTTCTGCCACATGGCTGCTGCATTCTCTTTCTTCTATGACCGGTCCCGAGTGGCCATCCCTTCTCGTCCCCCCTCGTACGGTGACAGTAACGACCTGTGAAATACTGGGTGCAGTTTCATGTGGTTGGGTAACCGGAGCCTGAAAGCCACTGGGTTGACCTGTTGAATGACCTCAAAGGGACCCAACCTCCTGGGTCTTAATTTCTTACAACCTCCTTTGAGCGGCAGCCCTCGGGTTGACAGCCACACCCTCTCTCCAACCCTTATGGTTTCACCTTCCCTTCGGTTCTTGTCTGCCTGCCTCTTGTATTCTTCCTTCGCCCTTTCTAAGTTGAGTTGGAGCTGACGGTGGATTGCTTCCATTTCTTCTACAAAATGCTCGGCTGCCGGTGCGCTCCATCTCTCCCCTTCTCCCCTGGGAAAGCCCTGGGATGACACCCATAATTAGCCAAGAAGGGGCTCATCCCTGTGGACACATTCTCGGCATTGTTGTAGGCAAATTCCGCCAGCGCCAACTTTTCTACCCAGTCATTCTCTCTGTCATTGACATAACACCTCAGGTATTGCTGGAGGACACCGTTTGCTCTTTCCGCCTGCCCGTTGGTTTCAGGGTGCCGGGCAGTCGAAAGGTTGACCTCCACCTGCAGTAAGCTCATGAGCTTCCTCCAGAACCTGGAAGTAAATTGTTTACCTCGGTCTGAGACCACCCTCAATGGCACCCCGTGCAACCTAAAAATGTGTTCTACAAATAACTTCGCTGTCTCTTCCGCCGTGACTGCATGCGAGCAAGCTACAAAGTGGCACATCTTTGTTAGTAGGTCTACCACCACCATGATGGCTGTTTTCCCTTTGGACTTCGGCAGATCAGTCATAAAATCTATCGACACTGCCTCCCAAGGTCGTTCTGGTGTTGGTAAGGGTTCTAATAGCCCCGCCGGCGCCCGCCTTTCCCCTTTGGCTCGCTGGCACTGCTCGCACCCTCTTACATACTCACGTACATCCTCCCTCACCTTAGGCCACCAAAATTCCCTGGTGACCAACCACATGGTTTTGTGTTGCCCAAAATGCCCGCCGTGGGGCTGTCATGCAACTGCTTGAGTACCCTTCCCCTTAAGTCTCCTTCAGGGATATACAGTGCCCCTTTGTAATACAAAGCTCCATTTCTTTCCTCGAAACCCCTTGATTCCTCTCCCTCATCCCTAAGACCTCTAAGCTTATTCTGGGCGTATTCATCATTCTCTGTTTCTTCTACCAGTTCTCTTTGTCCCACCAATGCCGCCCCACACACCCAGCGGTCCTCTGGAATGACATGTCTCTCTTCGGTGCTCCCTCCCCCTCCAAATATTCAGGTTTGCGTGAGAGAGCGTCCGCCCTAATATTCTCTGGGCCAGGCACGTAACAAATCTCAAAGTTAAATTTGGAGAATTCCTGAGCCCATCTCACTTGCCGTTGGTTGAGCACTCGTGCCGTCCTCCAATACTCTAGGTTCTTGTGGTCAGTGCACACTTGCACCTTATGTTGTGCGCCAATTAGCAGGTGCCTCCCACCTCCAGGGAACGCCTCATGAATGGCTAGTAGTTCTCGGTCATACACCGTGTAGTTCCTCTCGGATTTGTTCAGCTTTCGCGAAAAAAGCACACGGTCTCCACTCTGACTCCTCCTTCCCTGGCTGGAGAAGCACCGCCCCAACCGCTCTGTCTGATGCGTCAGTTTCCACTCTCATCGGTTTTTGTAAATCCACATGCAGGAGCTGTTGTTCCGAGGCGAAGGCCCTTTTAGTTCCTCAAATGCTTGCTCCGCCTCCTCCGTCCAAACGAACTTCTTCTTACTGCTGAGACAGTCCGTAATGGGCGCCGTCAGGTGGGCAAAGTTTGGGATGAACTTACGATAGAAGTTCCCAAACCCTAAAAACCTCTGCACATCCTTCCTTGTTTTGGGTGTTTTCCATTCCAGTACCGCCTGGACCTTGCCGGGATCCATGGCCAGCCCCTTGTCAGACAGGCGATACCCCAGGAATTCCACCTCCTTGGTATGAAACTGACACTTCTCCAGTTTCACCCACAGCTGGTTGGCTTGCAGCCTGCTCAACACTTCTCTGACGTCTCTCACATGCTGCTCCTCATTCTCAGAATACACCAACACGTCGTCTAAGAAGGCCACACAATTCTTGTAAAGCAACGGCCCCAGGACGTGGTTCATAAACGATTGAAATGTTGCGGAGCCTGCTTGTAGACCGAAGGGCATAACTAAGTATTCAAATGCCCCTAAAGGGGTGAACATGGTGGTTTTCCATTCATCCCCCTTCCTTATTCGTATCAGGTTGTACGCCCCCTTAGATCCAGCTTGGTGAAAATCTTTCCCTTTCGCACCCTTGTCAAAATGTCGTCAATCCTGGGCATCGGGAAGGCCACTGGTTCTGACACTGCATTTAAGGCCCTGAAGTCACACACCAGTCTCGGCTTGTTCGTGTTTTTTGTCCACAAAAACACTGGGCTGCCCCCACCGCCCTGGACTCTCTGATGAACCCTCTCTTCAGGTTCTTGTCAATGAACTCTCTTAGCTCCTGCATCTCTCTGTCTGACATGGCGTACAGCTTGCCCACAGGGAGCTGTGCCCCAGGGAGCAAATTGATTTGACAGTCAAAGGCTCTATGCGGTGGTAGTTGGTCAGCTTCCCTTTCGCTGAAGACGTCGCGGAGATCTGCGTATTGTCGTGGTACCTTCACGTTCTCCTTCACTTCAGTCCCTGCTAGGGTGGCTTGGGCCCCTGCCAAAACCTTTCCCTCTTTGCAATGTTCTAAGCAATGTGCTGACCCAAAAGAAACCACTCTCTGATGCCAGCCCACCAGCGGATCATGTAACGCTAGCCAGCTCATCCCCAATATAATAGGAGCTCCTCCCAAGGTGGCCACATTAAAAGCTATCAGTTCAGTGTGCCTTGCCACCTTCATTATCATTGGGACGGTCTGCAAGCTGACTTCTCCTCCCAACAGCTCCCTGCCATCGATCGTGGTTACCTGCAGGGGTTGCTTAAAGGAGCGTCTGTATCTGGTGTTCAGCTGCAAACTCTTTGCTCATGAAATTGCAGGAGCTGCCTGAGTCCAACAGCGCCTTTATCTTTAGAGGGTGTCCGTTTGGGAGCTCTAGTGTCACTTCTATCACTAGGGCGGGTTTAGGAGGTTCTGGAGTGGGCACTTTCACTGCTCTTTGGCCTGGCTGCTGTGCCCCGACAATGGCAGCCAGGCGTTGGCTTTAGTTGCTCCGGTATTGTGGCCGCTCTTCCCTCCACAGCTCCCACCATCCCTTGCCATTCCTTCCTCTGGGGGCAGACTCTGGCAAAGTGCCCTGGCTGTTGGCAGAGATAGCATTTCCGGGCGCCTTTTCCATCCTTCTTTCCCCCTCACTGGGCTTTGAAACTGCGCGCGCGCGCTGTTCCGATTTCCATCGGCTCTGCCGGCGGGACAGTTGGCTCTGGAATGTCTGGAATGCGGAACTCCTTCCAACGTTCCCCTTTCCCTTCCCGCCTCTCCAATGCTCTCGCCTCCTGGCGCGCTCCTATGGCCAGCGCTGATTTGGTCAGCTGGTCCATAGACTCCGCCCTGGGCGCCCGGGAAAGTTCATCTTTCACAGCCGAAGAAAGCCCTTCTTCAAAGAGCATTTGAATGGGTTCCGCCGATAAGTCCCACCCCAATCTGTGTATCAGCATGGTGAACTCAGTCCAGTACTCACGTACAGATCGGCTCCCCTGTTTGCAAGCCATTAACTGTCTGCGCACCACTCCCTTTTCAATATCGCTGGAAAACATCAGATCCATGGCGCGAAAGAACTTCATCGTGTCTTTTAAGACGTCACTATTCGCTGCCATCAGGGTCTAACCCAGTCTCTCGCCCCCTTTTCAAGATGCCCAATCACAAAAGCCACTCGTGATTCCTCATCAGGGAATCATCAAACTGCAGATTGAGGGCATATTGCATTTCTGTCCGAAAGCTATGATAGTCTTTGGGCTCCCCCCCAAATTTTTGCACCAATCCTGGTACCTTTCTGGCGAGCTGGGTGGCTTTCTCCCTTTGTCTGCATCTTGAGCCCTCCTCTCCTCCAGCCTCGCCGTCTGCAGCGCCAGCTGGACCTCCAACACTCGGTACCTTTCTTCCAGGCTTGGACCCGCTCCAGCCCCTGCTTCTCCGGTTCCTGCTGGGTTGCTCATTATTATGCCGTCTCCTGCACAAGCTGCGTTCAAAGACTGTCGGAATGCTGTGATGGGATTATGAGCTGCTTGTGCGTAAAATCGTATTCCCTCAGAGTTTGTTCAAGTCCACAAACCTCTGTCTGTGACTGAGCCCCTCTGACATGGCTCCTCTTAGTCACTAGAAGATTCCGACAGTGGTTGCTTTCGTGATCGCTTCCAACATAAAAGCTCCTTAACGGAAACACGTCTTCTGGACTCTCTGCGTGACAGTTTCCGGCGAGGAGTGGGTGTCGCTACAGGAGGTCCGGAAACCTCACCACTGTTTTCGCTGGAAGTATCTCTGAGCCATCCCCCCAGCTCCCTTTCCCTCAGTTCAGCTTCTCTCCCCCTGCTGGTTTCCTCTTCAGCTGCTAAGTCTCTTCCAACCTGTCTGAGCCCTTTCACCTCCCTCAGTTCAGCTTCTCTCCCCCTGCTGGTTTCCTCTTCAGCTGCTAAGTCTCTTCCAACCTGTCTGAGTCCTTTCACCTCCCTTCCTACCGATGGCAGTTCCCTGACAGTATTGATGGAAGAGATTCATAAAGACCAAGCGGGCTTTCTCCCGGGAAGACACATGTCTGATAATTTGAGGAATATAATTGATATTTTGGAAAAATTAGAAGTGAATATAAACACTAAAGCAGTTTTGATATTTGTGGACGCGGAGAAAGCTTTTGACAATATCTCTTGGAGCTTTATGAAGAAGAACCTACAAGGGATGGGGGTAGGCCAAGGTTTTGAAAATGGTATAGGTGCAATATATTCTGAACAAAAGGCTAAATTAATTGTAAATAATGTGGTGACCAAAGAATTTAAGATAGAAAAAGGGACACGACAGGGGTGCCCAATCTCCCCACTGCTTTTTATATCGGTCCTGGAGGTTCTGCTGAATATGATTAGAAGCGACCGGTTGGTTAAAGGTATACAGGTCGGAGCCAAACAGTACAAATTGAGAGCATTTGCAGATGACTTAGTATTGACGTTACAGGAGCCAGAATCTAGCACTAAAAGGGTTTTAGAATTAATTCAAGAATTTGGTCAAGTGGCAGGATTTAAATTGAACAAGTTAAAAACTAAGGTTTTAGAGAAAAATTTAACACCGATTGAAAGAGAGAGGTTTCAGAATGAGACAGGATTGACTGTGGTAAAGAAAGTGAAATACCTGGGGATTAATATGACAGCCAAAAATGGGAATTTATTTAAAGATAATTATGAAAAATGTTGGACGGAAGTGAAAAAAGACTTAGAAATTTGGTCAAATTTGAAGCTTTCAATGTTGGGTCGTATTGCTGTGATAAAAATGAATGTATTGCCTAGAATGTTGTTTTTCTTTCAAACATTACAAATTGTGGACAAGATGGATTGTTTCAAGAAGTGGCAGAGAGATCTTTCTAGATTTGTCTGGCAGGGCAAGAAGCCCAGAATAAAATTTAAGATATTAACTGATGCAAAGGAAAGGGGTGGATTTGCCCTGCCAGACTTTAAACTTTATTATGAATCAGCAGCTTTCTGCTGGTTGAAAGAATGGCTGCTTCTGGAAAACACAGACATTTTGGATCTAGAAGGTTTTAACAACATATTTGGATGGCATGCATATTTATGGTATGATAAGGTTAGAGCACATAAAGCATTCAAAAATCACATTGTCAGGAAAGCACTGTTTAATGTTTGGATAAGATATAAGGATTTATTGGAAAATAAAACCCCAAGGTGGTTGTCACCGATGGAAGCGAAAGCTTTGAAAAGGCTTAATATGGAGGCCAAATGGCCGAAATATTGGGAAATTTTGGAACAAGAAGGAGACAAATTGAAATTGCAGAGTTTTGAGAAATTAAAAAACAAAGTGAGAGATTGGCTTCATTATTATCAGATAATGGAGGCATATAATTTGGATAAGAAAATTGGCTTCCAGGTGGAAAAATCAAAATTAGAAACAGAACTGTTAGAACCCAAAACTAAGAATTTGTCAAGAATGTATAACTTGCTGTTGAAATGGAATACTCAGGATGAAACGGTGAAATTTGCTATGATTAAATGGGCACAAGATGTTGGACATAATATTATGTTTGCTGACTGGGAACAGTTATGGACCACAGGTATGAAGTTTACGGCATGTAATGCCCTAAGAGAGAATATTATGAAAATGATATACAGGTGGTACATGACCCCAGTCAAGCTTGCAAAAATCTATCATTTGCCCGATAATAAATGCTGGAAATGTAAAGAAACTGAAGGTACATTCTTTCACCTTTGGTGGACGTGCCCAAGGATTAAGGCTTTCTGGGAAATGATATATAATGAACTGAAAAGGTATTTAAATATACCTTCTTGAAGAAACCAGAGGCCTTTCTTCTGGGCATTGTCGGCCAATTGGTGCCAAAGAAGGACAGAACTTTTTTATGTATGCTACAACAGCAGCAAGAATACTCATTGCAAAGTATTGGAAAACACAAGATCTACCCACGTTGGAAGAATGGCAGATGAAGGTGATGGACTATATGGAATTGGCAGGAATGACTGGCAGAATCCGAGACCAGGGAGAAGAGTCGGTGGAAGAAGATTGGAAGAAATTCAAAGACTATCTACAGAAATATTGTAAAATTAATGAATGATAGAATGATGTTGGATAGTAATTAAGCGGTTTCCAGCTGTAATGCTCTAAGAGAATATGAAAAAGGGTTATAAATGGGTTAAAATCTAATGGCAAGGATTTGCTGAACCAATAAATTGAAGTGGAATACAAAAAAGGGAGGTATGAGGAGGTCCGGGAAACAAGCTAAAGGAAAATAAGTAATGGAAAATATGTGTGATTTTAACTGTTTATATTTTGTATTTTTCTTTTGTTTTTCATTTTTACTGTAATATTTCAAAAAATCTCAATAAATATCTTATAAAAAAAAAAAGATAATTTCTCCGAATAACAGCAGCAGCAGCAGCAACAACAACAGTAATAGTTAGCATTTATACTTCACCATTACAGTGTTCAAATGAAGTGTTTCATATGCCTTAACTTGTGCTAAGGATTACAGCAAGCCAGTAGGGTCATGGTTATTGCAAGAATACTGCAGACAAGGGGAGCAATTCAGCCTAGATCGCAGAGTGGATTCATGGCAGAGCATCAGGGTGGGGCTACGGGCCACAGTCTGGGATAAGTCAGAAGTCAGGTCCAAATAGTAGCTAAGAATAGGTAAAGGTAAAGGGACCCCTGACCATTAGGTCCAGCCGTGACCGACTCTGGGGTTGCGGCGCTCATCTCACTTTATTGGCCGAGGGAGCTGGCGTACAGCTTCCAGGTCATGTGGCCAGCATGACTAAGCCGCTTCTGGCAAACCAGAGCAGTGCACAGAAACGCCGTTTACCTTCCCGCTGGAGTGGTACCTATTTATCTACTTGCACTTTGACGTGCTTTCGAACTGCTAGGTTGGCAGGAGCTGGAACTGAGCAACGGGAGCTCACCCCGTCGTGGGGATTCGAACCACCGACCTTCTGATCGGCAAGTCCTAGGTCCTTGTGGTTTAACCCACAGCGCCACCCGTGTCCTGTAGCTAAGAATACAGGAACACAAAGAGCACCAAATGATCCTGTTCAAGTAAGACTCAGCTGGAACAGAAAGCCTTCTTATATATATGATCCAAAGGCCAGCCTGGATGGGCAGTCAGACGAGAACCTTGGGGGAACTTCACCAAGAAACTGACATTTGCAACTGAGTTGCCTGCCACATGATCCCACAGATCCCAGCAGCTTCTGACATTTGAACAAAGCTACAACATGCCCAGAAGTTCAATTTCGTATGCACAGGCTGGAGGTGTGGCCTGCTGCAGCAATCCTGCCCGTGCCCCCATGCACAGCAGCTCATATTACGACTCAGCCGCTGTGTCTTAGGCTGTGATCCTGCCCAGCTGTGTGCGCTCTGATCCCACTGAAAGAAATAGGATTTATGTATGTGCAACTGAGACTACGACCGCAGCTTCTTATTTTTCTATCTTTTGGAGCTCAGCGCTTGACAGCTTGGATAAAACCTAACCCGTACTGTGACCAATTCTAATTAGAAAATCACCACCAGAATGATAAAGCTGCTCATCATTATGAAACCACTCACTGAAGTATTAACATCTAAAATATTGGTTTTATTTGAATATTTAATAGGCACTTTTCAAATTTTAATTGCTTAGATAAATGCTGCTGCTCATGTGTTAACATAACAAGGAAAATAATGGCAGGGATCCAAAAGGTGTTAATCCAGCCAAGGGAATGGTGTCATTCAGTTTGTGCTAGACAGGACTGAACTCCCCTGGAAGGAGAAGATTTGCAGCCTAGAGATGCTCCATGCTCCATCTTTGCTGGTAGAGGCAAAAGTAGCTTCTGTGGCACTGAGCAGCTTTGAGCATCTTAGGCCAGGCAGAGAGAACCTTGGGCACAGTTATCCATGTCTGGTAGGCTCCAGATTAGACTATTGTCATGCCCTCTATACGGGCTTGCCTTTAAAGACTGTTTGGAAAATGCAGTTAGTGCAGAACGCAACTGCTAGATCATGCCTGTGCAATGCTAACTGCAGTGTCTTCCAGTTTGCTGGCTGAGTCCAGACATGAAAGTGCTGGTTTTTCACTATAAAAACTCTCCATAGCTTAGCACTAGGGAGCATGAAGAACAACCTGTCTCCATAGGTACCTACCTATACATTAAGATATTCAGCAGACAGCCACTAGCTGTTGAACTGGTTTCAGTTAGTAAAGGACACTTCTAGCCACTGAGGCTACCTGAGCCTCAAGCGACAAAGCTGGATTCAGAAGCACCCCAAACTGTGAACTTGCTCCTTCAGGGGAAGTGCTACCACATTCAGGGTAGGTAAGATGTCCCAATATTTTTATATTTTAGTTAAATTTCTATACCACCCTTTATCCGTAGATCTCAGGGCAGTTCACAACATAAAAATACAAGATTAAAAACACATGATACATAATATAATCAAGAACAAAAAACCCACAAACTGGTACCACCCCTAACTTGGACATGGCGCTCCAGAAGGATAGCATGGTTGATGGTATGGAAAACCACTGAGGGATCAAGGAGAATTAACAGCGACACATTTCTCCCGTCTCTCTCCTGACGGAGGTCATTATACAGGGCAACCAAAGGAGTTTCTGTGCCACAACTGGGCCCAAACCCAAGTGATTTAGAAAATCAGTTTCCTTCAAGATCTGGTTTGTGAACACTTGCTCAAGAACCTTGCCCAAGGTGGGGAGATTAGTAACTGGCTAGTAGTTACTTAGATGTTCCGAATCTACGGAGAGTTTCTTGAGGAGTGGTTTTACAACTGCCTCCTTCAAGCAGGCAGGAACCATTCCCTCGTGCTAGGAGGAATAGATTACTTCCCAGGCCCAGACAACAGTCCCCCCCTTTTTCTGCCTTCAGCAATTTTTGGGGGGTCAGGGAATTTGACTTGGGTAACTTTTTGGGTACACATTGCTAAAGGTGAATAAAGAGAAACCAATAAGACTGGATCTTTTGTTGGAAGTGTTTC